CGGAGGTGTGCGAAGGTAGGCTCACAATACAAACGCATACGCTCATACATACACATATACACTCATTATATGAGCACCTGTGAGAGACAGAGCCAACACATCATCTTTAGATTGACAAAGTCCCATAGACACCTGTCAAGTCTAGGACTTGAACTCTGATGGACTGGAGATACCTCTGTCCTCCTAGCCATTTAACCACAGATTGGTTCGAGATGGATTGAGGATTCTAAACGGTATATATCACACATGGTAGAAAAACTATCTTGTTTATTGCAAAAAATAAGAAAACATTGAATTTTTTTGGCAAGAAACATGTTCATGTGTTTACCTACGTGCAATTTTTCAAAAATAACATTTATGGTGCTTTGAGAAAAAATGGTGCAAGTTATAGCATTATGAATGCCGATAGAATGTTGGCATCGTCCTTATTGAGAACTCGATGCAAGTTATTTTTTCGCACGCAAAATTTTCCTAAACATAGGGAGGCATATGTCGACACCCGATTTTGGCACAGAAAACGCAATTAAGATGGCCTCAAATGAAAAGGTATTCAACATGAAAATTATTTGTCACATCAAGGTGAACCATTTTTCTTTTTTAATCATCTCAATTCGAGGTTGTATGAGAAAGTAATAGCGAAAATGGTGGGCTGCAGAAAGATTGCTCTAGAGCCTCTAAGCAGCTGGTGTTGTAGCGAAACTCACTGCAAAAGAGGGTAAATCAGCCGCTTTAATATTACCATCTGGGGAGGTTCGTTTAGTATCCCAGAACTACTTAGCAATAGTCGAACAAGTGGATAATGTTGGGGTGAACCAAAAAAGTTTGGGTAGAGCCGGATCTAAGTGTTGGCTAGGTAAACGCCCCTTAGAAAGAGGGGTAGTTATTAACCATGTGGACTGTTGGAAGTATGCCCTAGAGGCAATAATAAAGTGGTTGTTATTATATTTCCTTGTTCATGATAATTGTCTATTGTTCAAGCTATAATTGTGTTATCCGAAAATCATAATACATGTGTGAATACATAGACCACAACATGTCCCTAGTGAGTCTCTAGTTGACTAGCTCATTGATCAATAGATGGTTACGGTTTCCTGACCATTGACGTTGGATGTCGTTGATAATGGGATCACATCATTAGGAGAATGATGTGATGTACAAGACCCAATCCTGAGCATAGCACAAGATCGTGTAGTTCGTGTGCTAAAACTTTTCTAATGCCAAGTATCTTTTCCTTAGACCATGAGATTGTGCAACTCCCGGATACTATAGGAATGCTTTGGGTGTGCCAAACGTCACAACGTAACTAGGTGGCTATAAAGGTGCACTGCAGGTATCTCCGAAAGTGTCTGTTGGGTTGGCACGAATCGAGACTGGGATTTGTCACTCCGTATGAGGGAGAGGTATCTCTGGGCCCACTCGGTAATGCATCATCATAATGAGCTCAGAGTGACTAAGGAGTTAGTCTAGTGATCATGCATTACGTAACGAGTAAAGAGACATGCCGATAACGAGATTGAACAAGGTATTGGGATACCAACGATCGAATCTCGGGCAAGTAGCATACCAATGGACAAAGGGAATTGCATACGGGATTGATTGAATCCCCGACATCGTGGTTCATCCAATGAGATCATCGTGGAACATGTAGGAACCAATATGGGTATCTAGATCCCGCTATTGGTTATTGGCCGGAGAGGTGTCTCGGTCATGTCTACATGGTTCCTAAACCCATAGGGTCTACACACTTAAGGTTCGGTGACGCTAGAGTTGTTATGGGAAATAGTATGTGGTTACCGAATGTTGTTGGGAGTCTCGGATGAGATCCCGGACGTCACGGAGTTTCGGAATGGTCCGGAGGTGAAGATTTATATATGGGAAGTGATCATACGGTCACCGGAAGTATTCGGGGGTTTACCAATATTGTACCGGGACCACCGAAGGGGTTCCGGAGGTTCACCGGGAGGGTCCACCTGCCCCTGAGGGCCCTATGGGCTGTATGTGGAAGGGAACCAGCCCCTAAGTGGGCTGGGCGCCATCCCCCCTAGGGCCCATGCGCCTAGGGTTTGGGGGAAACCCTAAGGGGGGCTCCCCCTTGGCTTGGGGGGCAAGCCCCCTCCCCTTGGCCGCCGCCCCCCTCTAGATCCCATCTAGAGGGGCCGGCCCCCTTCCCCCTTCGCCCTATAAATAGAAGGGAGGAGGGAGGGCTGCAACACCTCATCCAAGACGCAGCCCTCCCCCTCTCCAACACCCCCTCCTCCTCCGTTGAGCTTGGCGAAACCCTGCCGGAGAACTGCAAACTCCACCACCACACCGTCGTGCTGCCGAAGTTCTTCCCCAACTTCTCCTTTCCCCTTGCTATATCAAGGAGGAGACGGCCCCGTGCTGCACATGTGTTGAACGCAGAGGTGCCATTGTTTGGCGCTTAGATCGGAATCAACCGCGATCTGAATCTCTGCGACTACGACTCCTTCGCCCGCGTTCTTGTAACGCTTTCGTCTCGCGATCTTCAAGGGTATGAAGATGCACACCTCTCTCTCGTTGCTAGTCTCTCCAT